ATATTATCGCCCTGTATTATATTTAAAGAAATCATGTTTCTCGCATTGTGATAAAAAAAACGGTGCCTTGATCTATCAAAATTTGAATAACATAATCTTCCACAGGGAATGGGCACATGGAAGCCTTAATTTGAATTTCAAATTTTTTTTTTTTTATTATCGAGTTCATATTTTGTAACGCTTCAACGAATTTTTGATTAACAAACTAAACAATTTCAAAGCGAGCAATGACAACACTCTACGGGAAAATATATCTCCAACGCGCAAGGCTCGGAAATTCTAAAGATATGATCATTCTAAAATTATTTTTGGATATAGCAGTTGAACTGAATTTTATTGTTTGAGTACGCAGAGCATGATATTTAATAAATAAGGTAACACGCAAAACGTTAAAAAAACGCCGCTTTGAAAGTAATTTAAAATCTGAAACCGTTCATATTTTATATTTTTTCTGCTTCTCTCACAATAACAATTAACATAGAAACGCCATTATTTGCAGTAACTGAAAACGATGACACTTAAACAGCAAGGAAAATTTTTGGACCTCGTTTGAAGCTATATTTTTTGCAAATGCGACCTAAAGTCACGCAAATATGCCACTTAACTTAATTTACTGATGCTAGTTTTATGTATAGAAGTTATATTTATGATGACTGAGCATGTAAGCAGCTTGCAATTGGCAAAACTAATTTAAATGTTCATTCATCACAAATATAATGAATTAAATGTTTATAGCAAGGAAACGAGCTATCTAAAATGAGTTTTGTAAGAGCATATATAAATAAAAGAGAATTAATTATTGAATCAGGAATGGAAAATAAGTAGTCCTATTGTTATATCAGGTGCTGCATTTTAGAAATTGAGGCAAATATTGTAATGATTTTAAACTCAATCTATATCTACAAAATCAGCAATCTGATGTTCATAGTTTGGATGTAACCCAAACCAGTTTTTGTTATAGCTCGTTTACAATGGCTGTTTCAAGTAAACGTATTAGACTTGGATAAACATATTAGCACAAAAACAATATTAGACACAGTGATTATAATATGTTCGATGGAAAAGAAGTTTCAAATTATTTGCTTATTTTTATTATTTTCTTTAAATCTGAGTCAAAGCTGTTTCTATCATAAAAAAAAAAGAAATGATTGTAGCAAAATTATTAAAATGTTAAAAGATTGCTTTAAGAAAAAGTTACGACAATTTATGATATGCATTAAAAACATATAAACAGCTTTCTTCATTCGTTCACTCCAGTCATAATTGCTAAAAATATATTTCTAACAAATTAATTTTCTATTTTTAAACATAAATGATATTTCTTAATGTTCAGATCTATTTCCTAGATATTCTGTCATTAAGCAGTCAAATGATTAAAAACATATACATTTCAACAGAATTCAAGTTAAAAGAAAAACTGAAAAGCAATACACATGCTGTTCTGCACAGGAAACCTTTGTAAACACAGTAAGCTCCCTCCCCTTTAAACTCCTTTCTCTAGACTGCACACGAAATCGAACGAGTTGTATTTATTCGAGAGCGTTTCATGGGGCACTCTGTTTATAGGCAACAAAAGCTTGAATGCCTTACCAATTTTCTCTGAATGGCTTCAGAATGAAATTCCTTTGTTCCGTAAGTAATCTAATTCGGTGAAGCGTGACTCAGTTGTTGCTCAGTTTTTCGTACTCAAATTGTACATTAATAGCTCCATCTAACCATCTAACAGTCCTTAGTTAGATACTTTGTGATGCAAGTCTTTGTTCCCATGAATTGCAGAGCCATCTGAACTAATAGGAGTAATGGTACTCCACAAATGGAGAATTGCAGTATGTTCTGTAATCATCCCAAAACTGTTTTAAAAAAAAACTTCGTTTATTTCTCCTTATCTCGTTGTTCCAGTACCGTTCGTATTGCTAAAGAATTAATTCTAGATTTGAATTTGTATAACATTTGCTTTAAATTACCATTTGGATTTAATGACTAATATAAAAATCTTTGCAATTTCGGAAAATCAATGAACTTCCATTTGATCAAAATAGATACAGATGTGAAAGTAATCTTAAATTTTCTTAAAAATAAGTTTACGTTTGTAAATGATGGTAAAATTTCATATGGAACTCTAACTAGTATATGTTAAATTAGAAAAAGAGCAACAGTCCAGTGACGTTTTCAGACTTATGTAGAAAGTCTGTTTTACTTTCCATACTTTGTAAAATTACACTTAACTCGAGGTATAAAAAAAAGTAGTCTGCTTACACTTTCGAGCTTTAGGAACATTTTATAAAATTTATAATTATTGCGTGGCCTTTAAATATTTACTGTATTTGTTTCCGAAGTCTCCTTATATTGAAGGAAATTTTAACGGATAGAGGAAAATTAATTGAAAATGTCTGTGTTTTCATATGTTATTAGATATAAGAAATTTCAAAAAAGAACAATATTCAATTAGTAGCGAGAAAAGTCAGGTTTTATTTTCCTTATTTCTAGAGCCCATAGTCATGAAATGCGTGGGTTCAAACTTAGTTATTTCTTGTTTAAAGTACATATCATCTATTTATCATACTATACATATAACGTAATTTTATTATATATGTTATTTATATGTATAATATTACAAAAGTGAATGTAATTAGAGCATATATTGTATACGAAATTATGTGTTAATCTATTGTTAGGAAAATACTGTTCACTATCAAAAATAATGTTGTCAGATGTAGAAGTAAAGAGCGAGTTCTACAGCACTGAAACTGTGATAACTTTGAAATCTAATATTAGACGATTAAAGAAAGTGATTTAAATACATTTTTAAGGAATTTCTCCCGCCTTCTTAGCATGCCATCGATATGTAGTGGTCAGCGCACTCGGCGTGTATTCGAAAGGTCCGTGGTTCGAGTCCCGGCGATGGCATTGCTCATTTTTCATTTCGCTTGCTTTCTTCGAAATAACCTAATGTCTCTAGAGTGTCACCTGAACTAATAAAGGTGGTGGATGATAATTCTCCACCACCAGGATTTGGCGATTGGGTTCCCTAATCTCCAGTCGCCCTTTTTTAAAAGGAGGAGTATATAAGGTACTTTACCTGCCTTCTTAGCATGAGCTTGTTGTGTAGTGGTCAACACATTCGGCGCGCATTCGAGATCTCCGTAATTCGAGAATTCGAGTCCCGGCGAAGGCATTTCTCATTTTTCATTTCTCTTGCTTTCTTTAAAATAACCTAATGTCTCTACAGTTTGTTAAATAATGTAGTTCATCTTTTCTCTGTCTAATCATAAATGGCCTGTCTAATCATCATATCTAATCATAACCTGTCATCTCTCTAATCATAAAGACAGTTTCATTTACAATATAGATAAATCCACATTTGTTTTTTTACAGATCAGTCTATTACATATGCTTAATTAAAGTATCAGATTATTTCTATGTAATCGATGCAGAATAATATCAGAATGGTCATAAAAGTCCTGAAGTTTTACAGAAACTGTCTTAAAAATTAAACTAAATATATAATAGTGGTACAAAGTATATACTATGTATGAAAGAAAAAAAAAATCTCAGCTAATATACACCACGAAGGCAACCTAAAGTAGGGAGAAAATACCTTATAAACTGAATACAGTAAGACCCCGCTTAACGCGGGGGATACGTTCCATCGAAGTAGAGCGTAATGCGAAACAGTGCTAAGCGAGGCTATCTTAACATGTAATAATGGGTTTAGGGAAGACGGATAAAAATGGTTTGGCAGGCATTAAATTTAATAATGTTTTTTAATAAAAATAAAATCAACATTTATTTCTTACAAAAATAAAAACAATATAAACGCATATACTTTTAAAAAAACAAATAAAAATTCTCAGTCAGATCATTCAGTCTGTTCTGGGTTTTCCATTTTTCTGCCTTTTTGTTAAGAAGGCATTATGATAGATTGGCTTAATGGCATATTGCGTTCAATTTCGTCTCGTTTAAATCCACATAGACAGTCGTTTTTTTTTTTTCCATTTCCTCTATAATGTTATTTCTAGAACGGGGTAATTCTAGTTTGCAGAGCTTGACGTAGTTGCAGTTGCCGATGACAGTATTTTTTCTTTATTCTTAAGAATTGTCCTTATTGTTGAAGTTGCCAAAATCAATGCAGCGCTAATTTGAGATTGACGTTCACCAGAATCTAATCTTCTAATCACTTGCATTTGAGTTTCCAGTGAAATGCTTTTTCTGGTTGCTTTCTTTCTTGTTTTTTATTATCACCCATGATAAAAAACTAAAGATCATAATATTTGTCACTGTATTAAACGTTATAGTTATACAAATTTAAACTTACAATAATGTCAACAAATGTTTCAAATGATAAAAAATGCGTGCACCAAGCAAGAAACACAACTACACTGTTTCGGGTATGTTATTTGGAAACCTAGCGCTGCGCACAATTTCGGAGAATCCCCGGGTTAAAATAAAAGAGCGCTAAACCGAAACAGCGCTAAACGAAACAGCGTTAAGCGGGGTCTTACTGTATTTGGATCAAACTCGTAACGAGCAGTCTTAGTAAATCTCTAAATGAGCATCTGGAATTTCCGCTCTTAAAGTAGTTTTAATTTTTTATGAACTTACTTTGTCTTACTGAAACCTGTAGGATTTTGCAGTTCTTCAGACTACAACACATTTAAAAAATTCTAGAGAAATCCCTCAATTAATATATTTTGGCATTTTTGTTTAAAAATAAGACGAAAGGTTTGTTTCATAATCGGTGAAAATTTCAAAACTTTATATCTGACACATTTTTAGATGTTAAAATATTACTCTAAAAACATTCCAATGATTGAAAGAAATTTTGAATATAAATATATCAGTTGGGTCAAAACGGTTAATTATTAAACCTCTTCCAGTCTTTAAGAAGAAAAAATATTATCGAGAAAGAACTTTTTTTCCCTTTCTTTTTGTTTTTCCTTTTTTTCATTTGAATGCATCCTTAACTCACTTTCGAGTTTCATTTCATTTTTTTGTTTCAGGAGATGAACAGCCCATAGCAATCAGTGCAGTTCTAGCAGTTCTTATGGGATTAGTTGGAGCGTTAGTGCTTCTGGCCATTATCATCATATTTATCTTGAAATCTCGAAGCTCCAGCGACAATTCAGGTAAGAAATTTGATAAAAAAAATGGTTCTTCATTACTATGTACCTAACAAGTTCAACATTAACGATGGTATAACTTACAAATTTAATACTGAGCGCAATTAAGCATTTCATCAATGCATACATTGCTTCAAGGCTCAGCTCTACTGAAGTAGTTTCACTAGTAATTAAATTAGGTAACAATGTTTGTTGTTAAAAATAAGTTCGATATATCTCGATGCTTTCACGACGAAATTGGATGAAATATTTCAGATCATGTCGGTGAACTATAACTTATTTTTAGTACATTTTTTAATCTATGCGAAAAAAAAACTCATGCTCCTTTCATATATTCAGGAAAAATTTCATAAAATAACATAATTTATAGCGTGTAATTTTATGGAATTATTAGAATATTGCATGTTTTCATACAATTTGCTAATTATATACTTGCATAAGAATCATGCTTTTAAGGAAAAGAAGTAATTATTGTTAAACACGTTTTAAATTCTTCGTAATATTTCGAGTATATATTTTAATAGCTAGTTTAAGTTAGCTACATTTTCGATTACTGAAAGAAATCTAATGCATTTCTTTCTCCCTTTCTGCATCTTCAAACGCATTTATTTTGACTCTATTTTTACTTTCCAAATATTGTCTCCAATTAAATAATATATATCTATAATAAACTCTATGCATATCTTGATGATTGGGTGATAGTTGCAATTGACTACTGCGTAGTTTGAATGATGCATAACGAAAGAGAAACTAGCTCATAGACGTGGCCACAGATAATATAAGATGTCATTTATAGACATATGTGGCCAACGATAAGACTTGATTTATTGCTAGACACTTAATTCTTGAGATACATATTCTCATAATTCTTGGGATACATACTCGCGATATATATTCTGATAATTCTTGGGATACATATTCTCATATTTCTTGAGATACATATTTTCATAGTTCTTGAGATACATATTCTCATAATTCTTGAGATACATATTTTCATAATTCTTGGGATACATATTCTCATTCGCACATCATTATGCAACAGACAGCAATAGACAGCCTAGAGTTTTTGAAAGCTTACATTTTCAGACAGTGGACAATATATAGCGATTAGCCGCACTGCGCTAGCACAGAAAACTAATCTGTGAAGTAAAGATGCATTTAGCTGCAACGAGAGATAGAGCGTCAGTGCTTTGTTGAAATTTTGATTTACGATTGGATAAAAAGTATCCGCAGTGCTTCGTGTTACATAAGACGACATGATAGATTAGAATCTATTTCTGCTACGTGTTATATAATCTTTAGAATAACTAGATTAGAATCTATTATGTCATCTTATGTAACACGTAACACTGCGGATACACGTACACTGCTGACACGTAACACTTCTTTCAATCTATATTTACTCTAAAATGAAGTTCATTTAGGGAATTTAGATTTATTCTGTTATTTTTATTTATATTTTTTCATATCCTTTCATTAATCAGAATAATAATAAGAATCATTTAATTATAAACACTAAGTATTTTTAGGAGAGGATGAGGAAGTAGCCATATTAAAATGAAAAATTAAAAGGAACTATTGCCAAATTAAAGTAGCAATTTTTTTCATATTTTATACCTTACATATCTATATATTTTCTAAGGCCACAGAAGTTAATTTAAAGCATGATTTTAATGAAAGCATTTTAAATTTCTTCATATATACCATATCTTTTAATGTTTATCCAACTTTGTACAGGATAGAGTGGTTCTGAATATATTATTATGACAGAAAGAATCTGAATAATGCATTATTTGGCTTATGAGGAAGCACACAAGGGCTTTCTGCCTAAGAAAGGAACTGGCAGTTGTGGAGGGTATTTTAAGAGAACTTGGCTCGTATTCACGTTACACGTGGTGTAGGGGAACAAGGGCCCATAGGTTACAAAAGGAATAAAAAAAACTAATTGAATACGTGTTCCCCAGAGCAGAGCCCTAAGCCTTTAGATATTAGTTCGTTATTTAAATATTGGTAGTTCGACTTAGGTTCGAATCCCGGCGAAAGGACTAACTACATAAATGTTTTCATGGTTTTCCCCATGTGTAAAATGTATTCGCATAAAATGTCTTACTCAAAGGCCTCCCTCATTTTTACGTAGATTGTCCTGGTATGGTTTGCATTGTCCAGTTAAACCTAACCTATGAAAGTGGATAATTTACCTGGATAATTCATAACAGTGTAAGTTAAATTCCGTGAAATACATCCATATAGATTATGAAAGGATATGAAAAAATATAAATAAAAATAATAGAATAAATCTAAATTACCTAAATGAACTTCATTTTATTCATTTTAGAGTAAATATAGATTGAAAGAAAGTCGCAAATTAAATAGACGCCGAAGAATATAATGTGTTATGAACAGGTAAGAATTAAGCTTTGAGGGAAAATGTGGAAACGGAGCAGATAACAACGGCATAAAAGCCGATATATATTTTCAGATAGCAGTTTAACCGTCTAGGAATCTGCCATTAGTTTTAGTAAGTTAATTGTTAGTTAACTTACTAAGACATGTTTTAGTAATTTAGTGCAAGTTAAAAACATTAACATCATGAAATTAAAAAGAATTTGCAATCTGATCTTATTATGCAGTTTTCCGTTTTGACACGAGAAATATTTTCAAGCGAAACAGTTACGATAGGCTTACTAGTTTTAAAATTTGTCCTGCAGTAGTTTGAGATATCTAGCAGAAGTTCTTATGTTTGAAACGCTTGTTAAAAAGGAAAAGACCAACTAATCAGAGGCGGCTCGTAATAAGCACTGTGGAAATGCAGCACCCCCTATTTCCACTTATTATTATTTTTAATATTTAATATAGTGTGCCCTTTAGTCTTTAATTCTTTCTTTATACTTTTACAATACATAATCCTTAAGCTTAATGTCAGTTGCCATCCCCTACTTTGTGAAAAAGGTATGGAAAGTCTTTGCTTAGAACTGCACGCTTCACAGTTCCAGCGACAAGGCATTTGGCTGTTCTGCGCATGCGCACACAGAGCAGCACGCGAGCCAGGTAGAGAGAAGAGCACTGCCGCTCCTGCAGTGCCGAAATGCTGGCATGTTGTTGAAAACGTGATTTCTTTTTAGTCCGCATATGTGATATTCCTCCACAAGGTGGAACTTCATCATACGGACTATAAACAAAGTTCATAGTTCATGAAAATTTGCAACTTTTAAAAATTGCCTTACTAAAATTCATTCAACATCAAATGCAGATCAAACTACTGCAAAAGCAACAGGAATTTTAAAATATCTAAATGATGATAATTTCAAGTTTTGGTTAGAGCTTTTTTATCAGATGCCTCACGTTGAAATAATATTTGTATATTATGCAATACAGAGAAATTAGTGTGTTTAAAGTTAATTAATATATAACAAATTTCAAAACTGCTATTTTAAAATTAAAAAACTCAAAGTACTGCGATAATTTTTCAAAGACACTGATGGCAGAAGCTAAGGAAATATGTGATTTTATATTATGTATTAATATAATTCACAGATATTCTTCCACTAAACACTTAGCTGCTGCTAAATTGTTTAACAAGAAATGCTTAGTTTTAGGAATGAACATTTTACAGAAGAAATAGTACTGAGCACTGAAGCATATCCAATGATTGACAAAGAAGAGGCTTGAAACTGATTCTATTGTAGGTCTGATATCCATAAATACTTCAAATTAATTAAGCTACTGAAATTTATCTTCGAAAATAATCAGGATGATGTTCTTAGTGAAATTACGAAACTGATGAAAATTCTCTTGAGAGTTCCCATGACTACATCAGATGCAAAACGCTGCTTTTCAACATTGGAAACTGTAACAATTTTGTTTAATAACTAAGAAATGTTTAATTGTTTTCTTGTAAAATTTCATGAAGTTTCAAAATAAATTTTCTTTTTATACAAGTTTGTTTCCTTTTACACAATCTTAAAACAAAGGTTATTATTATTATTTTTTTTTTTAAACAGCACCCCCACTAATTTTAGCCACGAGCCGCCCCTGCAACTAATAGAAACAAGCTTTGCCGTAATAGTATTTCGTTATAAATTAATAAACCATTTATCATTATTATGAGTATTTTATTATAAATAACAGGGAGAAAATTTCACTATATTATTTTAGAAGAAACTTAATCATTCAAGTTGTAATTGTGCATTTATTTCACTCTATAGCTTGCGTACAAAAGTAGTTCACTCAGTTGAAAACACTTTCTATTTTGACAACAACTAATAAAAATAAACACTTTGAGCGTTTATTTAATCATTTTTGTTTTATTTACAATAAACACTTTGAATGTTTATTTAATTATATTTATTTTTATTTACAATAAACACATTGAGTATTCATTTAATTATTTTCCTTCGAGGCGTTTAATAATAATAAAAATCTCTGATAAAATTTGAAATCATAAAATTACAACCAAAACTAAAAGAAAAATTTTAAAAAAGTTTATCCAAAAAATAAATAAAATCCAAAAGGTTTCAGATTTTATATTACGCCCATAGAAGCGTTTTTTTAACATTTTGTGTGTTAAATATATTTATTAAATATCATGTGCTTCGCAATTAAACCACATAAATTTCAATTCAACAGCAATGACAAAAAATATTTAAAAACAGCATATCTTTACAATTTCCGACAGACAGTACCAGTAGTGAAGTATCGCTGATTTATCGCCCGTGGAGATACATTTTTTTTTTTCCCTCGTACAATGTTGTCATTGCTCGCTTTAACATTATTAAGTTTGATAATAAAAAATTCGTTAAAGTTTTACTAAACATGAAGTAGATGATAAAACAAATTCGAAACTCAAAATTTCGGCTTCCAAGTGTCCATGTTCAGGTGAAGGACTACGTTATTCAGAATTTGATGGCTCTAGGTACCGTCGTTTCTTTCACAGTGCGATAAATATACATACATTCATGAAGATTCTTCATTATTTAGTTAGTATAATGCAGGACGATAATATTTGG